TACAACAAATAACCTGACCCATTGATCAACATGCCCGGAACCTAGATAAACGTACAACAGTTATCCAGCTCAAAGATAAATCAAAACAAGGCGCGCTGGTGAGACGGCAAGGAGGGCAACGAGAGCAAAAGAGACCTGTATTCTTTAAGGTGCACAAGCTGAGCAAGTCCAGCATCACAGGGTTGAAGATTTACAATATCCCCATGTATTGTTTTAGTTCTTAGTCAGATTATCTAGCAATCATGGATGTAATGGTTAATAACTCGGCAGGCACGACTAAGGAACATATTACCGATACATCGAATGACACACAGGGTACTTATATTACTTTTAGTAGGGCGAAGCTTTATAATCAGAATGATGATCTAGAAATTAACTCTAGCGAGGTTAGTTACCTATCCGTTGCTACTACAACTCAGAGAGTATACTGGTATTGACCAGTACATTACCTTCAAAAACAACTACTACAACGGCGAGCATAGCCTTTCAATCAGGTCTATCAGTGGACGCAAACCTAGCACCATCGAGGACGTAATAATCTCTGATAGGCGAGTCATAAAAAGCCGTATTAAAACTGTCTCCAGCACACCCGGGACGGTCTGTGGAGCCGTTAACTACAGTATAACATCAGGATCATTTCTTTGTGTGGTGCATACCTACATAGTCTCTTTGTTACGACTATATAGTCCATACAGACGCTTAGTTATTATGTTCCCAGGTTGTACTCCAGGGGCGTAAATGGGCGGCCCGGCCTAAAGCCCTAATGGTTACTGCTGCTGCATTCTCAAACCGGGTAGGAGAAAATTAGCTTATATATTCATCAAGATGAGAAAATTAACAAAACAGCTGGTAGACTTAGGTACTATCCATGAATGAATCTTTCCCATTTAGATAACCCCATTGCCCATTTGCTGTCGAGTCACTGAATAGGGATTTTCTACGCTATGATTGGGTGGTAAATCACTAATGATTACAGGATAGATTTAAATATACATACTACCCAATACGGTTATATAAATTAAGAGATATATGTTTAGTATCAATGTGTATGCATTGGCCCTAATTACAGATTCTCCACTCTAGGGAATAGACAGCGCCTGTCCTAGCGGCCCTAGATCCCTATCTAAAACGTCTATTTACATATCCACCACCACCCGAGGAAGGTTGTTCAAACCGTATTTGGGTGTTAGTGGCCCAAAGGGCATTTATACCATGGTAGAATACGACATTACCATCATCCTGCGCCCGAACAAAGAAATTGTTGCCCTTGGGACAGTGAGTATTTGTCTGCCAGACAATCTCGCCATTCGTGGTACTATATATGATATTGCGTTAGTCTAGGGGACTTCATAATCAAATATAACCAAGGGTGACGGGGGAGAAAGGGTTAGGTATAGAGAATATTAGGAAACTTACTACAGGCAGAGATTTCCTTCCTCTTCCAGCTTGAGCCCCCGGATATGCTTGCCCTGTCCGGCTGTATTCTGGAACAGAGCTTTACCGCCGTGGTACACCACCATATTGCCATCGGTCTGTACAGTGAACTTGATGCTGCCGTCCTCGGGCTCCAAGCTGTGGCCAGCTTCAAGCCACTCGCCCGCACAAAGAGTGTCTTTGTATCGTGGTGGCTCGGGGTCAGGTCGTATGTACCTGTTTTCACCATTCCACTCCTTCCAGTACTCTTCAACATAATATCCCCAGTCATTGCCTGAATTCTTGGAGTGCTCTACAAGCACATTTCCCGCCTGATGCACAAAGTTATTGGTCGATGTTTCGCCCCACAGGTGCGAGTGTGCCAATCCAGCGCGAATCCATTCCATATAGGTCTTGATAGCATCCCAGCCACCGCCTGTCACTGTATAACTGTATCCACGTTCGGGGCGGGCACCAATACTTTGAGCAACCCAGCGTTTTTCTTCTTCCCAAGGACAATCAATGTGTCTCAGAATATGAGAACTAAATTTCCGGCTGGTTTGTTCTAGCCCCTGCTCAGTTTCGCTTGACGCGCCCAGCATCACCCAGGTGTCGTTATGCTGAAGGTAGATACGGATGCCATAGAAATCTTTCTTGTGTGTAGTCTCCAGAGGTGCAGCATACCAGTCATGACCAGAGTACTCCCATGAGCGCGGCGTCAGATGTTGCACGGCGGCCATGTTGGGTGATTGTAAGAGACGATTGTTGTTGAACGCTACAAGACAGCGTCTGCGGAATGGTTCGGCTGTATGTTCTGCAAGGCCAAGTTGGCAAGGATAGATGAAAGGACTTGAAATGGAAGGTTAATAATATGAGAAAAAATTTTCTAACCGGATTTCCACGCCCTTTTATATTTTGTCGCCCGGAATTTACCTCTATCGATCATCCCCTTGGATCGGCAACTGTCTCTGGTGAGCTGACCTACACAGTACATGCTCAGCTGAAGTGGTGGGCCAAAGAATAGGCATTCACCACTCGGCGTTAGGCCTATTGCAGATCTTTAAGGCGCGTCATAGACCGGTGCATTAGTATGCAGATCTAATAAATATATCGCCATGATTTTGACACGATCAGTATGTGAATCATTGATCATTATCCCTGGAGTAGCGGTGTAGACGATAGAAATGGATTGATTAGACCAGAATTAGATCCATTGCCCGAGCTCTGAGGAAGAAGGTGGCATGAAATTCACGGTCAGATCGTCAGCCGTGATCCACAAGCTCAGCTACACGGCCTGTACGTGCCGATTTGTCTCAACTGGACCCATTGACCCACCAAGCCTGTGGGGACCTGAGATTTTAGATACGTAGAGAAAATGAAATCACCCCACTTCATCGCCTCATACCCACTGGAATACGTGAGATCCCAGCGGAAATCTCACCCAAAAAAATATTCACTGCTACGGCGGACTCAACCGAGGAATTTTATCAAGGTTACCAACGGCAACGCACTTCGAGTGGTACGGATCCCTCGCCAAACCTGCTTCATTTTGGGAGCGGGTATAGAAAGGCGCTGGGTAGCGGGGTGCTAGAGAAACGACCGGGATAGTCACTAGGGCCAGGAATATACTGATTAGAGCGTGAAAAGTAGCTCCCAAGGGAGGACATTAACCAAAATTATACATATCGAAGCTGCTTTCTGACGCGGATAATAAGAGCTTTATGTCTGAAATAACCGAGGAGCTCCCTACCCTCCACCGACATACCGGGATATGATATGATGAAGTAGTAATAAGACAGTGTTGAGCGATAGCGCCAAGTCTCCTCCGTTAGGCCACTGCATGTAACTCCACACCCATCGTAGAAGCGTGGTGAACAGTATGATAGATGGTAAACTGAAACGTCAACTTCAGATGTGCCCGTCAACTATAGGATAGAATTCTACTTACCTCCAAGGGTTTCGTACGATACTCTTAAGAGTACTAACAGTCCGCGACGGAATAGCCGAGGTGTGAGGAATCAATGGAGGGGTTCTTTTATCAGCATCCATTTGGCTCAGTCTGACAATCAGATGATATTTCAGTCGCTCGGAACAGAGAAGAGGGCCGGCTGCATGGAATAGTTGCATTAACGGTAGTTGAAGCTCCAGGGCACGTACCAAATGCTCACTAGCTGCTCCCGGAGCAGTCCGAAAGCTAGGGCTATCCCTGCATGTGACTCTTTATACTACCAGTAAATCACCTAGCTATACAACAAGCCTCTCTACCCTTATCCAAGCAACCCAAATGAATAACCCCTTATATTTAGGCCGATGTCGAAGGAGAATACCACTAGTGCAAATCCTTATGGAGAAAGTGATTATGACACTCAAATATACTACCTGTTGGATGATTGGCTATCCCTCCCTTTAATATTATCATTGATTACGAGGCCATTACTTACCGCAGAACATTGGTCAAATCAGCATTTTGCATCTTTTGCCTTTAGAAGAATCACTTGACAGCCCGTGCTCACCATGTCAGGCCATTTATCCGAAGTCATGATCTTAAAGTTAGTGATTTAGAACCCCTTATGAAACAAATGCATTGGCCCGGAAATTGTCCAAACCACTTCTGCGAGAAGGCTTTCGACAACGAGCGAGACTTCCGTCGTCATCTGCATGGCATGCATGCTTATCACAAATCTATTTGGTAAAGCCCTGCAACAGGTTGCGATGAAAGTGAACCCTTCAAAGCAGATGATACTGGTATCCAACTTGAGCCATCTGGCATATATGCTGCTCAGGATCGACGCAAAAAGCGCCCTTCCCCTGCATCTCCGAGCAAATTACAGACTCGAACTGTATTTTGGGCACCTGACACCAAACAAGCCACTGCTCAAAAGTCAGCTCAACCAGGTGCGCCATCGTTAGCTTCGTACAGTTCCCACGTGTCCGAATCCAGTTTGGATAAGCCAGATCGAAGATCTGGGAAGGATATGGACAGCACGATTAAAATCACAGGCGAACATTCGCTTGGGAGCAGTTTACCTTATTCTCGCACTAACACTCCTGGGCTAACAGAGAGGAGCTCTCTGGAGGTTCGACGGTGGCAACCCGCTACATACCCGTCCTATACCCGAAACGTATGGCCAAATAATTTGTACAATCGCGTTGGTAAAAGGGAATTTGGTGTAAGAAACAATCTCCATACAGCATTTCGCGGATCTCTTGTATACTGTTTAGACAACGCTATACAAAGCCGTATTTCTCTTATAATAGTCACTATAAACTCGGCAGAACGCGCGAAAGTAGCATGTAATGTCTTGTGGGACCTGTCATGGTAGCATTTCATGTTTTGCGGGACCTGTCATCTGTTTGTGGGGAAGATCATAGAGCATAATGCCTTGCGGGACCTGGCGTCTGTTTGCGGGGAAGATCATAGCTCTGAAATCCGGGGAAAACGCGGGGATAGCAGCCGATTTAAGCAATAGGACTTAGGGTGTAGAAAATAACTTATAAGGGATTTAGCTCCTTTTCCCTGAAATTGTATCGTTCTATATTCTCTTAAATTCTCTATCTCAATTTTGGCTATCCTCTCCCTATCTGAAATGTCTTCCACCCCCGGACAGACTGTTTCCGATGATGGCAAGCATGATGTCGTTGAACAATTTCAACATGTGGAACATGCCAAAGAGCATATTGAAGAAAATCTAACGTACGAGGAGGATCAAGAGCCAGAGCTGCATGCGCAGACGTATTTTGCTTTGGCTGCAATGTTTCTGCTGAATCTCGTGCAAGTTTTTGGACTTCTCAGTCCCCCGGCTGCGGTACTAGAGTCTTCGCCAGCTCTGCAGTCAATTGGCAAGCTGACACTCTTCCGCTAGCTTTCATATATTGAAAAGGACCTTAATAACACTACCGCTGGTACTTGGGTTCCGAATTCCCTGTCGCTCGTCCAAGCTGTCCTCGCGCCTCTCATTGCGTCTCTATCGGATACATTCCAGGCCCGAAAGGCATTTCTTGTTGGAACATCCATTATCTCGTTTATTGGTTGTGCAATTGCGCCCGGATCAACCAGTATATATCGTCTCATAGCAGCTCAGGTGCTGATCGGTTTTGGATTTGCCACTGTTCCGCTGGCCTACTGCGTTCCGAGTGATATTTTGCCTAGAAAATGGAGACCCAGTGAGTTCGGCCTGAAATCTTCTCCCAGTTTAAAGGATCTCATTGATTTGTCATAATTCCACAGTGGTCCAAGCCTGTATCAACATTGCTGCAGCCGTCGGTGCTTGCTCGGGACCACTGATAATTGGTGCGCTGACGAGATCAAATCCTCACACTGGTTGGAGGAACTTTTATGTACGTGACCCCCTCAAGCCGCCGTAGTCATGATATATCTGACAGAATGTGAAGTGGATTCAGATGGCTCTCTGGGGAATGACAGCGATTGGGCTTTTAATTGGATATAGGCCCCCTAAACGACACACTCGATTTGACCATCTGTCATTCTGGCAAAAACTTGGCTCTGTCGATCTTCCAGGGTTCTTCTTGCTCACTGCGGGATTGTCCATCTTCCTGACGGGACTCAACCTGGGAGGAGGCCTTTATACCTGGTCCAGTGCGGCAGTCTTGGCTACTTTGATCATAGGAATACTCCTTTTGATCGCCTTTGGGATTACGAGTGGAGATTTACCAGGGTTGGAATTCTCCACCATGATCTCTTTCATGGGGGAAGAACTGGGGAGAATGCGGGCTATACATTTGCTATCTGTATTGGTCTCATGTTTATTGAAGGGATCATGCTTTTTGCAATCGTTGTCTTCTATCCAGCTCTGTAAGCACTTCGTTTCATGATTCCGATGTCCATTTTACTGACCTCCGATTTTGATAGGACGGTGGCTTTGTTCGAAACGGACCCATTTTTGGAGGCTGCTCGGCAAATTCCTTACTGGCTTGCTTCTGCCATTGCCACGGTGATCTACGGCTATTATAGTACGAAGTTCCGTACGATCCGCTCTCCAATGTTCGTCGGCTTCTTCATCTTCACCTGCGGCCTCATTGGGCTGTCTACAGTTCAACCGAGTGGTGATTTCAACGCCGTAGCATTTATCGCCCTGGCTGGGGTGGGATTTGGTGCCCCGTTAGTCTTGGTAATTGCTGGGGTTCAGCTCTCAACACCACATCATTTAATCGCAACCGCAACGGCAGCCACGACTTGCTCTCGGGCCGTCGCTGCAAGTGTCTTCACGGCTATCTTTTCGGCCGCATCTAACACACGCTTAAAGACATATATTCCTCAGTATGTTTCCAAAGCGGCTTTACATGCGGGATTGCCGAAGTCTTCCATCGAAACCTTTGTCAAGGCTCTGTTATCCGAAGATCGTGCAGCTTTGGAAAGCATCAAGGGGGTCAATTCGGAAATCCTCAACTCCGGGATCCACGCCCTAAAACAGGCATATGCCGATGGCTTCAGGGTGGTCTACATCATTGCAGTTCCCTTCGGTGTCGTGGCATGCATTGCAAGTCTATTCTTGGGAGATCTAAAGAAAGCCATGAACTACGGTGTCGATGCGCCAATGGAAGTTTTGCATACCAAGCGTCGTACGGAAGCTTGATATTTGATAGGCCATTTCTCGATATGTTGAAGCAGCCTTCATCTAGATGATAATCTTACCAGCTGCGAACCGGCCCCTTACAATGATTACTATATTTTCTGAACCCTCATTCCGCAAGGGACCCGTACTTGGTTGTACTGTACAACAGTAATACACGTAGTTTACTGCTCGTGAAGTATATCTTATTGATTAATTCGAACATTAGATATTCTGTTCCCTCAAATTAACTGAACAGATGCGCAGCGGGCTTGGCTCTATAAGTTTTAGTTTAGATGTTATTAACACATATGAAGGGTACAACCGTAGTTAAAAGATCGGCGTTGTTAGGGTCATGGGATACACCGCATCCAAACCCTAATTCTAGCCCCGACGGGCCCTATCTAGGATCTGCCAATACAAAAATGTCCGAGTCCATACAGACTTCTCATGATCTGGCTCAGCACTCTGTCTATAACGAGCAGGCCCTAAAAGGTAATCGATCTAGAAGGCTCTGTATACAGGAATCAATGAACCTATATACCTTCCAGTTCAATGTGAATTGAACATCAGGCGATAGACAGGACGTAACAATTCAACTAAATAATATTGCTTCCAACCGCCAATAGTACCGACCGTAGCCAGATGATTGTAATGAAGTGACTTGTTCCGTCGCTGTTTATCACGTATCTCCTCCGCACGCAGTGTGCCGATACCATCCGAGAGTGAATCCCAGATGCTCAGGCTCTCCCGAAGATAGGAGTTGGAGAAGCCCGCGACGCTGCAGATTCTGACACAGAGCTCGTTTCCATACGAAATCCTCTGTTAAGTTGTCTGGATGTACACCACGACCGTAGCCCTGTGGTTCGCTGTTGTTGGAGTTTGTTGGCTTGCCTCTGGCGTCCGGACAGCCCGATATTAGCATCTCAATATTCAAAGCCAAGTCCGCGATCGTCTTGTACTTGTTGTGCCAGCACTTGTCAATAATTTCGTCAATTAGCGGGTCACTGTTCGGCTTGGGAAAATCCATGTTCTGTAGTAATTCCACAACCTTGGTACCATGCTCCTTGGGATCTTCAGTGAGACATTGATCCCCATAGACTTCCACGCCGTAGTTGATTAAATAATAGAAGGAACTAAGGGCGAATTGTTCCGTTCGAGGATCCAAAAGGCCGGAACTTCCACGTCGTCCTTCCTCTGGCTTGCTATCACCGAGGACCCTTCCATATGGAGCCATACAAGCTTCGAAATCGGTCCCGATTTCTCCAGTACAATCAAAATCAGACAGTTTTAATCGGTTACGATCAAGTAAGATATTCTCGGGTCGTAGATCGCTATAAGCGAGATTAAGAGATTGAAGAAAAGCAACGGCTTGAGCAAAATCGTTCATCCATTCCTTTCGCAGGGCTAGAGGTTCCAATCTTTCTACTTTAGTGACTATCATGGTATGCTCGTCTCGGGCATGATTACTTTGTATCCGAGACCAAAGGGACTCATCTGGTGATGCAGTTAGTTGAGTCTGACACAGCTCAGCTGTGAAGCATCAATAGGGTTTCGCACCTCGCATATACTTGAGGAAAATTCCGTTGTCGGCGTATTGGAAACATTGCACCATAGAAGAGCAAGATAGTTATTGCAAGAAGGTCTCGTAGATCTTGAGCTCTTTCTAAAATTGTTCCCTCTCAAACTCTCCAGCTTTAGGGACCTTAACCACGATGCGAGGATGAACTTCATACACAAAGGAAATGCCCCCCTTGCAAACCCAATGAACCTCAGGAAATTGAACTTGACTTGTCATGAGGAGAATGGCTTTTGTATGGAAGTGCTGAAAGAGGAAGGGAAAAGGGAGCTTCACTAAGAAGCTATATGGACCAGGTTGGGTTGGGTGCCCGAGATACAAGGCCAAAAACCCCTCGCTTGGACGCGAAAGAATACAGGAGGGGTCAATGTACTACCGGGCCAAGTCCTGCGATGTATTGACTTATCATGAACTAACAACTAAAAGGTAGTTTGAGATGGGTGAGTACATTTTCGTTACTATTGCAAGGAGAATCGTGCTGGCACTCAGCAATGGTAGTTCTACTTTCGGAGATCCTTCCCCTGATTCAAACATTTTTTAATTCATCTATATCGTATCTCTCCATAATGTTGTATCTCTTTCTCTAATGAGTTTAATTTTCCTTTTGAGCCGTTCACCGTCGTACTGCAATACTTCTTCCTGCTTTTGTACTGAAATAGATGCTCTCATATTAGTAATAGGTTCTTGTATTTTCCTTAATAACATCTCTATTAGGATCGCTAAGCGGTCGTTGTTGCGGAGTTATATCGAACGCAGATGTCTTTTACGGCCCAAGTGTTGGTGTTATTATGAGAAATGTCAAGGTATACTGGATGTGACTTATGAGGGGCAATTTCCGGTGCCCAATCTATACACTACATGCCCAGTGACTCGACAAGACGCATGATGTATGTACATAGAGAGTACGATGATAGACTCCCAGGTGCGAGGTCCCACTCGCCAACCGGGAGGATGATATATGGACAGTGTCCGTTGTCGGGGTCAAGGAGGCCTTCAATATTATATAGAAGCTAGCATGGGTATTGGTAGTAGTAGATTCATTCCCCCGTCAAAAACTAACTAACTGCCAACTGCGTATATAAATGTGACCCGGAGAAAAGAAAAAAAATCGACACCTGTGAGATTCGAACTCACGCCCCCGAAGGGAATGCCTACGCTAATCCAAATATGGCATAGCAGGGCATCGCGTTAACCACTCCGCCAAAGTGCCTCACTTGATTAATATCGCAATTATTTAGAGTATATAGAGGAAGCCGATGCTTTATCAGATTCTTTTTAAAATAAGTTGTTGATAGCAACAACGATGTTATCATCAACTTAGTCTGTCATACTGCTATTGTCAGGCATCAATAATGTTCCGTCTTCTTTGTCACTGGGTATTGTCTGAATTATTTCATCTTTCTTCGAGAAGGTAAACTTGTTGGCAGGGATTGTTCTGATAGTAGACATGTTTCTCTACACCCAGCATTCCTTGCCATTCACCCGGCAGTCTCTGTTTGGTTGAAGAAATGTTGTGACTCGTATATTTCGTCCCTAAGGTCTCGAGCAATACCGCCATTTCTGGCCCTGAGTATGAAGTAGATAGCAGAGATTTAATGATACAAATAATGAGCGACCCCACGTAAACAGCTTGTTATGCCGTTGGACGCAGTGATGGAGATTATATCCTAAACGAACTGTTTACTTCCGCTGCGTACAACGTTGACAAGGTACATCGCAACCCATCTCAGTCATGATTCATGAGCGACTCGATATTCGTGTTTTGATCATTTCTAGCTCATCGCTGACATCGTTATCATTCCCCGACTCCTTAGCTCAATAAGGTCTCTGCCAGGTAGCGGGCAATATCAGTAGAGATTATCGTTTAACAACAGGTGCGTCTCTTGGTAGTCGAGTATCATGATTCAAGCATTGGGGCCAACATTAGCCCAAGCGGTTAGATATAGGCGTTAACTAGGATATTAGTTATGTTGATGTTGTCAGAACTTCGCAGATCAATGTGTTTCTCGACAGCATGACTTATGCATCGTGGCCATATACATAGGCTACAGTGAACATCTTTGGCATTCGTTCACGCCACTGAAGATGTTTTTCTCTTTCCAAGCATCTTTGACTTCTTTCACTCTCCCGATATGACTGCTCATCACCGAGTCTAAGACTAGTCAGCAGCTAGGATGTGATTAACGGGAAGGTTGTACCCTGTGCTTCAGACTGTCTCGAATATCCACTGGCAGTCAACTGTGTGATCCCTAGTGTGGGCATATCAAGGCACTCCCTTGCACAACCAGGGTGTCATCAATATTGTTAGTCCATATCCGAAGAGTGTTTGGCAATTCATACAGAGAACCCATACTTGCATGGATAGTAGATTAGGTAGTAAAAAATGCTGAGCCCCTAATAATGCACAATATTTTTTCGAGTTCCGACGAGTAAGGCACTATGGCGGAGTGGTTAACGCGGTGCCCTGCTATACCCATGACATGGATTAGCCTAGGCATTCCCTTCGGGGGCGTGAGTTCGAATCTCACTGGTGTCGCATTTCTTTTTCTCTTTCGGTGCACCACCACTCACTCACCTGATAGCGCCTGTAGAAGCTGTTTTTTATTTACGGTGGACAAATTACTATTATCCGTGTAGAATCCTTGATCTCAGCTCTTCATCGGGAAGAGTTATCACTAACTCTGACGCGACCCCTACTACTTACTTGCGATGGTAGATTTCCTGGTTACTCTTTTTCGGTTGAGACTGTTTCCCATATGAAGAAGTTCTCCACCTCTATATACCAGATAGCAGTATGGATAGTATCGCTAATTGCATTCTAGGAAGTCTCCATGGTTCGCTCAGATTTACAGCGTAGCAGATTGACCCTCCGGATTTATATCAATGATTGCCTGCCAAAGGTTCACAACGGCGTTGCTTTCCCAACCCTCATAGCGAAAATGGTCTAGTACCTGTTCTAACAGAACACGATCATTTTTGGTGATGGAGCGTCATCACCCTCTGCAAGCATACGCTCGGCTACCTTCTTGTACGCCAATTTATGGGCCCGATGCTTGATTGTATTCCTCACTTCGAAGTACAGCCATCTTCGACAGTGGGCCAGGAACTTGATTCTCTCGAACGGGCTGCAGCCATCCAGCTCGTCCCTGGAGTCCCCAGCAGGACCACCCCTGGTCATCACCCGCTGTTCGATCTCGCTGGCGGTCAGCTCATACGCCTTGTTCTGGACCAAGGTCGCCAGTTGAACCGCGCTGATGGGCTTCTTCGCCTGTAGCATGGCACCCGTCGTCAGATGTTGAAGCTTGCATTTCCCCATCAGGTAATCAGCCACGTCCTCGGCCAGAGTATCAGCGAGAGAGGCATAGGTATGTGTTTTCTCCGCTCGTTGGACCGCCTCAATCTCAGACGTGAACAGGACCGTGAGCAGTTCGCTGAAGACAACTCCATCCGAACAACGGGGCGTAGGGTCTGCCGTCTTCATTTTCGGGCTACGTATCAGAGCCGTCAGCTTCGATGGAAGTTTGATCAGATGCGTGAAGTATTTGGAGCCGTATAGCCCGGGACACACAGACGCAGCAGTCAGGTGGGCGAAGTCGTGGAGGTCCCAGATCGCGGACGAATTGTCCAGCATGTCGGTACTATCGCCGTCGAAATCTTTTTCTCGAACGGCAATGTGGCCTGGGCCAATGGATGATATGGCATTTGGGGGAACGAGTTTTGTTTGGTGGTCCACTGTGAGAGTGTTGCTGTTGACCAGGCGGTGGACGCCGTAGTTGATGGCACGGATGGCATTGTTGTCGTGAGAGAGGAAGGCGACGATCTCATTGAAGTGGTCTAGGTTGGATTCCACGGCTGGTAGGAACTCTCCACGACATTCTGAGCGAGTGGCGAGATATAAGACGCCAAACTTATGGACGGAGATGGCTGCGCTCCAGAGCGTCTTGTGTTGGTCGAATGGGAGCAGAAGTGGCTTGTTGTCCGCTCGTTCCAGAAGGATTCGACATCCTTCTAAGATGTACTGAAGTAGGGGACGCTTGACTTCCGTCGTCCGGAGCCGGATTCTATCAGCGTTGTCGAAGTGAGGGTGTGCAGGACAGTGGCCGTCTAGCCACCACGTTGAAGGCTCATAGGCAGGAGGAAGCTCTTCGAAGGGGGACAGGTGTATCTCTGAGGAAATGGAGGTTGCATGTGGCTGTTTATTCGGCGGTTGTTTGCGATCGGAGCGAGTTGGTTTAAGGCGTGGGACCTTGAGTGTCTCACGGACGAGGGTCTGGACGGCAGTGAGAAGTGACTCCATTTTATCGACTTTCAGAGACCAGTTCCACAGCACTACCATGGTCGACGTATTTAACGACTGCCTTTTATAAGAAAGTTCGTACAGCACCCTCTACTCCATACTGCTTACAGTATTTTCTTAATCATCGATATGCGCCACAGTTTCCAATCGGGTCACGGAATTTCAGGGTTCGTCATCTCCTCCGCAATTCAGACGCATGGTTTTGCCGACTTTGCAGTAGCGTGTCACGCCTGGATCTCTTGCATGGCCGAGGAAGTATGTTATTGATATGATCTTATGATCTCGCTGGTGAGACACCGTCAGCTGCAGGTCCGAGTCTAGCCCTAATGAGAATATACAAGCGATCATCTCTGTAGAGCGATGCGGAGTGTATGGGCAATAATGTTCCAGGCCGTTAGATCAAATGTACCCCGGTCTTCCCCAGACCTTGCAGTGATCTATGAGATATTTTTAGTATGATATTGTCGTAGAATTCGTGCAAATGGGACTTCCTTCCGCCTCCTTGCAGAGATCTACTGTATGGTCAATACTGGGACATTATGGGTAGTGTAGTCTAATCATTCCTTCTTGCACTTGAGTAAGTTTTTTAGATATTGCTTTTATCATTTCAGTAATGCAGGTTTCAGTCTCTCTTCGACTTTTCTGGACTCTCTTCCTACTCCCAGGATGATATGAGTCGACAAGAGGATGGAACTAGGGCTGATCTCTACTCTACGATCTGCAGCTCCACCCGATTGGCTGTGGGGCCTTCTCGGCGTAATCCGAGGTGCACGACCCTTACATTGATATCCACGGAAATCCAGCTGCCTCAACGCCATTTAGGTAATATTCGAGACAGGATCAGGAAGGAGAGAGCAATGTCTAATTTCGGTATGCAGTCGTGTGCATCTCATTAGTTTTCGACCCTCGGGGATGTATGTTCGATGTGCAGTTAAGCTAAAGCACACCTCGTATCCGTTGTGCTCCCTTAAGTCTGACTGGACCCACGCGATGTAACTCTGGCCGGGGATAATCAATGATCCCCCTATAGCACTCTTGTATTAAGGCTTGATTCCTGGGGGCTCCCAATTAACCTAAACTCCGACTGGCTGGCTCGTGCGGTAGGGGACGCCATGAAGGGAAGAAATCAAGGAAGAAAAATTTTTACGCCCTTGCTTCCGCACACGAGGCTCACATACCGTTCAGCCGCGGTGGTGAAAATGTGTGACTGCATACAGAAACTCAAACTTCGAAATCCGTTTCTTTTCTGCTGGCGTGTCCTTCAAATCGCAGGACAACTGCTCGAAGACCAATCAAGTATCCACCATGGCGACCAATCCGACTGCGGAGCTGAAAGGCACGGTGGCTGCTACTGAAACTTCGGAGGATGCAGCGAGGCATGTGGATCACGGTCTCCGCGCCTGGACAGTCGTGGCCGGGGCATGGTGCTGTCTGTTTTGTGGTTTTGGCTGGGTGAACGGTACGAATGGTTCTATCTAGTGGTGACTTCAACTCTGACAAGTGCCAGCCATTGGAATCTTCCAAGATTATTATCAAGCCCATCAATTGCGGACGTACTCGGCGTCCAGCATCTCGTGGATCTTGTCTCTGGAACCGTTTATTCTCTTTGCAGCGGGACTGGTGATTGGAAGAGTATGACCCTCCATAAGCCCTAATTCTACTTGCCTGGCCAGCGTTCATCGATTCTTCAGGTTTTCGATAATTACGGCCCCAAATGGCTCCTTCTCATTGGGACGTTTCTGCACGTCTTCGGTCTCATGATGACCTCCATCTCGCACGAGTATTACCAGTTCATTCTCGCCCAGGGCATCTGCAGCCCGCTGGGCGCCAGCTTCGTCTTCTACCCGGCACTCTCCTGCACCGCGACCTGGTTCGATAAGCGGCGCGCCCTGGCCTTTGGCATTGTGTCCAGCGGCTCCTCCCTCGGCGGGGTCGTGTTCCCCACGATGCTGTCGCGACTGCTGCCGCGCATCGGATTCGGCTGGTCGCTGCGTATCTCGGGCTTCATGGTCCTGGCCATGCTGATCATTGCCAACCTGACCGTTCGGTCGCGAATCGCGCCCGTCCCACGACCGGTCAAGCTGACGGACTACATCGGGCCTTTTTCAGAGCTCCCATTTATTCTCCTCATGCTGGCTTCCTGCTGTGGGTTTTTCGCCATGTTTGTACCGATCAACTACGTGATCGTGGAGGCGCAGGAGGATGGGGTCAACCGTGACTTGGCTGGGTACTTGCTGACCATCCTCAACGCAGCAAGGTAAAGTACCATAAACACTCGATTACTCCCACAAGCAAGCCCGACTAACCTGCATAGCCTTCCTGGCCGGATCCTACCCGGCTACCTCGGGGACAAACTGGGCCGATTCAACGTCATGATCGCCATGTGCACTCTATCCGCCGTGGTTCTGCTAGTCCTCTGGCTCCCCGGTACGCTTCTCTCCCCCGGCAGCGCGGCCATCTACATCGTCTTCAGCCTGCTGTATGGATTCGCCTCGGGCGCGTTCGTCGGCATGGTCCCTGCCCTACTGAGCCAGATCTCGCCCGACGTGACCAAGACCGGGGTGCGCCAGGGCGTGTTGTTCACCTGTATCAGCATCGCTTCGCTCACGGGGAGCCCGATCGCAGGGGCGATCCTGAGTCGACAGCACGGGACCTACTGGGGGCTACAGGTGTTCGCGGGCGCCATGATGGTGGGCAGTGTGTTCTTCTTTGTGGCGGCGAGAGTCGTCCTGGCTGGGGCTTCTATTGCGAAGAAAGTATAGACCGCTATGTATGTACATAGGTATAGACTTTATTATCAACATGCGTAAACTACGGTTCACAGTAACTGTCGCAGAGCTGCGCCAGCAGCACATCTAACTTGGTCAGCCCTTTGGGTTGGTGCGTGGTCCAGCGGATGGAGACCTTGTTGTAGACCTGTAAACGTCAGCAACACATCTCACCAACCGTATCAAATAAGTAGCAGCCCAGAGACAACAACATACATTCGTCCACTCCGGATGATGCCGAAACATCGCCGCCGCCTCCGCAACCCGCTGCATGAACGCCTTCATCACCGTTAGCAAAAAGGACATACCACCACACACGGGAAGATAGAACGCACCCACGCCTTCTTAAACGAAGGGAACAGAATCTCGCGCTCCACGCCCAAGCCATCATGCGTCAAGGTCCACAGCCCGCCATTCCGCACCAGCAAGCGCTCCACGCCCTCCACAACACGCTCCACATCCTCCCCCTCCGCCACGACCGGCAGCTCAGCTCCCTTCCACGCGGCCCCGTAGATCTTATCCCCGATATCGCCATGCGTATAGGGCACCAAATACCCAGCCTCATCACAACGCTCCGCCCGCGCCGCAACAACCACATACTCCACGACCGGACACGCGGCCACCCTCTCCAGCGCCTCGGGCGCCGCATAGCAGCACAACACGGCCACCGACCTCTCCGCGCGCCCGCTGCTCATCGCCCACAGCTCCTCGCACAGCGCCACGACTGTGTCCCCCGTCGCGACCAGCGTGTCCAGCACGACCAGCTTACCCTCGTCTGCGGCTGGTGGGAAGGGCCGACGACCGGGCCATTCGACGATGACGTCCTGAGTGCCCTTTTTCTTGCTGCAGCGGGCGAGTATGCAGGTTGTGTTGGTGAAGAGGGGTGCGGCGGCGACGAACATGGGGAGGGCGCCGCGCAGGATGGGCACCATGGTTGGGTTGGTGAGGGCTGGGTCGTGGGCTTTGGCGGTGTTGATGAGGGCGGCGGTGAGCCCGTGGATGGTGGTTTGCATTGCTTGGGGGGTTGCGGTGGGGGAGAGGAAGGTTTGCATGAGCGTGGAGGGGGGTGGGTCGAGGGTGATGATCGGGGGTTTGGGTTGGGGCATTTTCTACTGTCTTTTTCTGTATGAATATGATAGGATGGAAGAGTTTGTTTTTTGTGTTTATTTATTGTTTGGGGGGGGGGCTAGTTGGTGAAGTAATGTTGTATGTAGTTGGGGTATTTATATTGGATCGTATTGTTGTAGTTGCATTCTGGATCACATGGTGTTGTGTTTATCTTACTGACTTATAGTTCGGAGTGAACTAATCTAATTAATGGTTTACGGGAAATGGCCACTAATTAAGTGGCAGTATGCGACTCTTCCTAGCGTTGAATTAAGTATGTAGCATAAAATCCTTAAAGTGGCAGCACTCGTCAGGGACCCCGTCAAGCCCTAACTAAACCTACTGGGTTCATGGATGAGATTCTGATTTAGATTGCGAAGAATCACACTAATACATAGCAATCTAGCTTCATAGCAAAGATATAGGTATAGATATTTCCCGTCTAAATTTAATCAAGATTTCTCAGGAACTACGCAGTTCATAATCAAATTAATATACTCGGTTGTAGACTGTCTTGGGATCTAAGGTCAGAACTCGGGACTTCAACACGTAAGTCCTGCACTCTTTCCGAAGCCGAGTGAAATATTAATTCCGCTACGAGACAATTTACGGGGTATGACCTTCCCATGGTCACTGCGAGTAACCCAGAAGTAATACGGAGTACAGTGGGGATTAACCCCCTTGCTGGTTGCTGGTCTAGATGAGGTCGATCAGCCCTACCCTTCCCAGTTCAGGGAGTATAGTGGGTTTAGTATGTAGTGATAATATCTGTACTCCGTACACATACACATATACACGGCCAAGGAAATCGACTAAATGACAAGAGCCTATTAACAAAACTTGAGAAACATTCCGAGACAAGTCAGCACTAGTCAACTCAATACGACGCCCGATAGATGCCTATGCAAGACACGTCACTGAGTTCCCAGTTTCCCGTGTTATCTCCACGGCCCCTCCCGAGGCCCACCAAACCCTAGAAAGATCGACTGAGATCAATAAATTAGAACTAGATTAAAGAACAACCAACCCTCAAACCACCTCTATACAAGTTACTACCAAATTCTCACTTCAATTATTTAACGAAAATGCCCCCCACCACCCTGGCCATCTTCGACTTCGACGGCACGCTCTTCGACACCCATGAATCTATCTCGCAAACCATTAAACTGACCTTCGAGGCGCTCCTCCCCGCCCACGCGCCCCCGCAACCCGAAGTCCACCGCCTAATTGCCAGCGGCGCCGGCCTCTCCGACACCTTCCGCGCCCTGCACCCGGACCCCGCCACCTTCGCCCTCCACGAAACCGCCTGGATCGAGAAATACCGCGCCCTCTACGCAACCCACGGCCAGCTCCTCATCAAAGCCTTCCCCGGCGCCCACGCCCTCTTAACAGAGCTCCAGGCCCACACCGTGCCCATCGCCATCGTCAGTAACAAGGGCGTGGCGGCCGTGAAGACGGCGCTGGAGAGGAACGGCCTGGCCGGGTATGTGCCCGAGGACCTGATCATCGGGGACAAGACGCCCGGGGCGCAGCGGAAGCCGGATCCCGCTAGTTTTGTGGATGTGCTGGTGCCGATCTTGGAGGAGAAGTTTGGCGTAAAGGTGGCGGCGGACGGCGTGTTGGTGGTGGGGGATACGATGGCCGACATTCAGTTTGCGAGGAATATCGGGGGCAAGGTGTGTTGGTGTCGCTATGGGTATGGGGATAGGACAGCTTGTGAAGGGTTAGGGCCCGATTATGTGGTGGATTCTCTGGGGGAGGTGGTGGGCATTATCAAGGGTTGATTTGGGGTTTCTTGAATGTCTGTGGCATTTTGTATAGAACATCATGAGAATGGAGGCAAGAAAGCCAATATGCAGATAAAGAGTGTATCGTCCGGTATTCATCCAAATCCCATGCAAAACGCCCGCGCCATGCTTCGTCACATTGAGTATCATAAGAGTAGCGCTGCTACCGAAAGACGGACCTGGCTTTCACCGTTTCCCCACCACTTGCTTCTTGGCTTTATCGTAGTTCAGCACCTTCCGTCGCCGGTGGGTTTGCGCCAGCTTCCATCGGCAGTACAGAACCAAGGCATCTTTCAGCAGCACAAAGGCGCAGCCGCCAACCACACTTCGGCCCCATCGCGTCTGTAGAAGCCCCGGTCGGCTGCGTTCCAGCGCAGACGGCGCCGCGGTCCATGCTTTCGGGAGGACGTACTTGAGTAGCCCGCCCATCGAAGCGGATATGGCTGGAAATGCGAGAGCCCCGAGGATGATATCAGCGAGGTTGCTCGTTTCATGGATCAGGTCGTCTCGTCGGCCTAGTCCCATCTGGCCATTCTGATCCGCGCCCTGGCCTTGATCACCAGCCCCATTGTTGTCGCCCATTCCTACTTGTAATTCCAGATCAATTTCCATGAGGATATGGCCATTGCCATCATCCCGAGGCGGGTCGGCTTCCGGGTGTTCGGGAGGCGCATTGTCGTCGAACTCGTTGACATCCGATTGCCGAGGCTGCACTTCCGCGATCCACCGCCTTTCCAACTTGCCAAATATCCTTTCATAAATGGTGCTATAGAAACTTTTGACATATGGCAGAGCCGCAAACGTCATCGCGGCGCTAGGTGGCCACAGATCGAAATCGGGATCATGACCGGGATTATGTGTGGCGAAGAACAGTACTGGGATAGCTGGGAGCAGCCCTTCCGCATACCGAGTCCGCGAGAAGATCAACACCAGTGGGATGAGTGGCAGCCCCAGATTGAGACCGGAGTTCCATGATCCATCCGCGCTTTCTTCCAGAATTTGCCGGGCATCTTCCGGACCGAAAACAAAATACATAGAATATACGCCGTGTGCACAGCATCCAGCCCAGACAGTACCCGCAAGGGTGAACACCATCCCCGGAAGAACCAGCCGACCAGCAACCCGTTCCAACATCCGCACTGTGTCAACGATATAGCTGCGTGGGCGCGAGACGACAATCTCGGATTTACACTGGGGGCACATCATCTTGGCGTTACGGCCGTTTCGCTTTCGGGATCGGGGGTTTTCTAAGTCGGCAAGCCAATCCAGTAGGCAGGCTTCGTGCGCCGTCAAGGCACATGGACAGGGAGAGCGCCATTCTGTATTGAGGGGAGAGTCCTCGGTCTCGTCCGTGTAGCAAATCCAACATTTACGTGGTTCGTCATTCGATGTATCGACGGGGTTGGAACTCTGAATCGGAGATGCACCGGAGACGTTGCCTTCACTCAATGACGGCTTATTGAGAAAGACCGTCTCATTGTCCTCCATCGATTCCGTTGCTGAGGTAGATGTTTCGGGACTCGTTGTTCTTTCGTCCCTGGTGGAAGCGTTATCGGACGATCGCGGTCTGCCTGCGGAGGCCGAGTAGCCGGAGATTGACTCCATAGTTTAGTTGGTTAAGCAAAGCCGCACCCAGGAAGATGAGTCAAATGACGAGAAACGTTGATCGTATTACTGTAAAAAAACACCACTGTACATCCTGTGATGGAGTATCGCCTGAGTATCATCGAGTCATGGAGCGAAGATAGGGGAAAGAGTTTGCGGCGAGAGGATGGGGGAGGTTTCAGTCACCAGGCAGCTCTTCGTGAATGGAACTGCCACTAAGCCAGCTGCTAAGTGCTTCGGGTGCCAGCCGCGGCTTTGCAGAGGCGAAAACCGCCAGCCGAACGCTCGTCACGTGGGGCCTTGCGGGGCGCTGCAGTGCGGAATAACAGTTGACCCGGGCAGATCCATCCTTTCTCGGCCTAGTCCCATCACCTCACTTTCAACTCTCATTGCGTCCCAATCGGATGAGGAAATCATTGGTATGACCTGCAGCACGTTATAGTGAAACTCTTATAGTGACACGCAGGAGCTCAGGCCAAAGTCTATCTGACTCATGCGAGAGTTACCCGGGACTACAGTGTTACCCCTGAGTCTGGTTCCTACATCCACCAATGAGAAGTCTGACTTTGGCGTACAGTGAGAACTTCTTAGATCTCTGAACAGCGTGTATACCCTAGCCTTTCAATCTCGGGTTTCAAAGCTTCTATGTTGACATGATCACTTGAAGAGATCTGCAGGTACCTCATACCCAAGATATGCTTTCTATATTTGTATTATGCTACACATTACAGCAATATCCTAACCTATGTTCTGTTATACCTCAAACATGTTGGACTTGATACCGGATTCATCAAGATCTTCTGACCCCCTTGGCTCAAGACCATCAGTGTTGCCTTGACTATGTTACAATCCCTGGCATTACCGTGCCAATTAATTTTACACCTGAAGTTTTCGGGCTCGAACCGAGGCATTGACGGTCTGGATGCCCGTCACCTTGGGGTTTGCCTCTGCTTAGAACATGTGTCGAAGGGTTCGGCGGGTGCTGGGAGGCTTGCCGTCCTTGCTGTAGGTGACAAGGTGGAACAGGATGGCAGTCGCTCCATGGTGGTAAGAGTGGAGGAATGTCAAAGGATTTTCGTAAGAAACAAGAATATGGTATCGAGAAGCTCGAGGTATTTAGTTAAATATGTCAACTAACCAAGTCTCAGCGTCTGCGCTACGCACGATCGGCTTAGATGTTTCACCTACGTAGTATAGAACAACTAGGCGGTTCGTCCAGCCGCCGTCTCGATGAGATATGACGTAGAAAATGCCGTTTCGGAAGACGGTAGGAATGAGCTCCTTGATGTAAAGCGCGAGCAGGATAGAACTATTAACGGCGAGGTAGAAGTTGTGAATTAGAAACAGCAACCTCAATTGAAACGGTGCTCGGCTCGCATCACTTCACGACCTCCAAAGATAATGGTATAATAAATAGCCACAAAGATCTATGTCTCCTTGAGCGTTGACATCGGTGTTATCCCCACGACAAACTGGAACTCATCGGCAGGGTACCCTGGGACAAGTTCGAAGGCGTTGCTGAAGTGCGGCCATAGGTGCACGCCAAAAGGTCTATCGAAAGATGGAGTGGGACACGACGCTAGAGCCATGGCTTCAAGGAAGAGACAAATTTGAATGATGTTCGACACATGGAAGAGGTTCCCTTTGGTAAGACACACTCAAATCTGACACTTCCCTATTTTCCTCGCTTATTCTTGGCTTCACTTCAAAACAACAGCGATCTTTGTCTCATGTAATTCGAAAGTCTAATTCCTTTGCTGATCATAAGTTCCTCATACAATAAAGCGGTTTAGCAAGCCCTTCGAGAGTGTCAACAGGGGTCGTCATGTTGGGACAACCAACAAAGACCCTGGAGGGCAACGTTTCAAAAGACGCTTTATGTGTGTACTCAATCAATAATAGAGCTTATCTCAAGCAGGAAAGTTCGCATCTCCACGGCGATAAGAGAGTCTATCCGATAGACATGTCGCTTGTCGCAGTAGTGTTCCAGTAAAGCAATAACCCCTGGCTGCACTAAATCTAGGACGGAGCGGATCTGGGACGACCGTTTAGCAGCTTCTTCCTCGTGTAGGAACATACTGAAGTCCAGGGATACTGCATTTTCTCTCTGCCTGAGTCGGTATTTGGCCAGCTCGTCATGGAAGGTGTTTCCGGTTGTATAGTTGGACTGACCCGGAGAGCTAGCCACACTGGCAAAAGATGAGAGAATGACAAGGGAATCCAGCCCACTGAGAAGGTGATGGTGTAGGTCCCACATTCCGTTCACATATGACTTAAGACAGTCGATGGGTTGTACTCTCGAAAATGAAGTCCTATGAAATTATCTCAGCATTTTGCTCCTATTCAAGACAGCTATTTCACTCACTTTAAGCTCCATCGCCGCATGAATCGCCATTTGATAGGAGACATATTGACTTTGTAATAATCCAACCCTGCAACCAAAGTTTCTGCATCACAAACATCATACTGGGGACTGTCTACAGTGGCATAAGCTATTGGAGGATTCACGACACTCTGTGAGAGCAGAATCAGGTTCGAGCTCCTTTAGAAACGTACCATTCGGATATAACGCTCCCAGGCCGCCCGCGATCATAAATGTTTCATTCGAGTTGAATTGCCAACCCGACTTGGGCTTAACAATAGCCTTGACAAATGTATTAGAATTCAAACAGCAGAATACCTTACAGATGTGATTCTGAGACTAATTGGAAGAATCCAGTCCTCTCCCTTGGAGTGCAGTGTCCCAAGATTTCGAGCTCGGCCGAGCTCCAGAAAGAAGGTTCAAGCCCCACTACCTTAATCCACGCCAATGCAACCTTATCGGCCGTACCATCCTTACAGAGGAGGCATCAGTAATACTTCTTCTTCTCCCTTGAGCATCTTCTTCCTAATAGACTATATTCCGAGAGTCACTCGGTGGTTTTTCTTCTTTGATTTTTCTTTTTAGTTTTCCTAACCCAACATCTATGTTGTTCAATTTTGGGTTGTCAGAATATACTTTCTCCTATTTATCCTTTTAGCTGTCCTTGCTTAGTCGACCCTGGTGTGTCCAAGGATGGTAATATTCATACTTCTTTCTACTTAGGGCCCGACTTAGTATACTTTATTTTATGTCTTTATGTATATAGTACTATAATGCCCAGGGCGTACTATTCATGCTCTTGAAATAGTTCATGTCCCATTAACCTTCGTTTACAGCACGGCATACCTTACACCGACATGACCAGGATAGCTCTAGTATGCGCGGACTGAGCCGTTGACTGGAATTCAGATCCCATAAGGGAACTAGGAGTGTGTCATGAGCGTATGCTTTTATGGTCTAAGCTTCTGGGTATGAAAAGGTGGGCTTGTATCTTTGATACATTGGTTGGGGCCAAGGCTCATCGACTGTTTGTATGTTCGACTCCAACCGCATTATAGTGGATCCAATTGTGTCGCTATGGCTGATGTATTGAAATGGGTGTGGCAAAGATACCGAATTTATTCATGGTCAATTACAAAACAGGTCAAAATGACATCCTTTCCTATTATCCCTTAAAGTTTCCAACATAGGTAACATGATAAACATAAGGATTATATACAATATACAGCCGCCTGGAACCGAAGAAACTTTTTGGCGAATCATAAAAAGGATCAACAAGATGCCAATAAAGAAAAAATAAAGGGACTCGAGTTCAAGGGTAGAAGAAGCCCGGCCCACATCTCACCGGAAAGATTCCAGCAAGGCCTCGGAGTTGCGGAATTTATCGTGCAGTTTCCTCCCAATGAGTACGGCCGTCTGATGCTACTGGGAGCGCCAACAGGCACCCGCTAGCGTTTTTAGAACCCGCCAGAAAACGCCGTGGATATCGACAGATTAAGAAAAGGTCAATGGGCACTTTGCAATTACAGGATCGGTTGGTCACGTCGTTCCATCATTCATGTCAACTTAGACATTGACCTTCCGCTTCCTCATCAGGGCTTTCCTCTCCTGCTCCTTGGCTAAAACGCAGAGTTAGTACTACTTCACAAAAGTTCGGGAGGTTCAAGAAAACATACCTTCGTCATAAACAAGGAACTCGTGCAGGGCGCTGCCAGCGGGCACCATGGGAAGCACAGGCACCTTACGGTCAGTAATGACCTCGAGCAGAGCAGGGCCGTCGCTCTCAATCAGCCACTTCAGCTTCTCCTCCATATCAGCAGGGTTGACCAGCTTATCAGCAGCAACACCCATGGACTTAGCCAGAGGAACAAAGTCGGGGTTCTTCTGGTGGGTATGCGAATAACGATCCTCGTAGAAGAGGTTCTGCCATTGGGTCACCATACCCTGCTCCTCGTTGTTCAGCAGGAGGACCTTGACGCCGATGTTGAACTGGGCAGCAGTAGAAAGCTCGGTGAGGGTCATGTTGAAGGAGGCATCTCCATCAATGTCAACGACAAGGGCATCAGGGCAAGCAACCTTGGCGCCAATAGCCGCGGGAAGACCATAGCCCATAGTACCCAAACCACCGGAGGTGATCATACTACGGGGATGGCGCCAACGGAAGTGCTGGGCAGCCCACATCTGATGTTGACCGACACCGGTGGAGATCAGGGTACGGTCCTTCATGTGGGCGGTGAGGTCACTGAGCTTCTCAATCAAAGTCTGAGGCTTGATGGGACCTTCCGCGGCCTGCTTCTCGTACAGAGAGAAAGGGAAGCGAGCCTTCCAGTCATTGATCTGGGCGAACCACTCGGGGCGCTCCTCCACCTTGTTGACATGGGGAAGAAGATGGCTAATGTTCTCCGCACAGTCACCCTCGACGGCCTCGTTGGCCTGGACGACCTTGTTGATGTTCTTGGGCATGATCTCAAAGTGTACAATACCACCACGGTTCTCGGACGCAGCAAGCTTAGCCTGAGGGGCGAACTTGGTGATGTTACCGGTGACACGGTCATCGAAACGGGCACCAACCGCAATGATCAAATCAGCCTCCTGCATAGCCATGTTGGCGTAGGCCGATCCGTGCATTCCCAGCATATGCAGTGCCTTGGGGTCCAGCTCGTCGAAGCCACCCAGACCCTGCAGAGTCGTGGTGACCGGAATGCAGGCCTTGTCGGCCAATTCCTTCAAGAGCTTCGGGCCTTCGGGGTTAGCGAGAAGACCCTGTCCGACGTAAAGAACGGGCTTCTTGGCGACATTGACCAAACGAGCAACGCGGCCGATGGTGCTTTCGAGCTGCTTCATGCTCAGCTCACGGGCTGCAATGCTCGCCGCGCTCGGCAGAGAGGGAATGGTGCTGTTCATAGGGATAGGCTTGCGGAGGATACCGGCGGTGATATCTTTCGGAAGGTCGACCAGGACGGGACCAGGGCGACCACTGGTTGCGATTTCAAAGGCCTCGTGGATGCGGCGAGGAAGCTCGGCGACAGACTTCACCATAACGTTCCACTTCGTGCAGGCTCTCGAGATACCGATCACGTCGGCTTCCTGGAAAGAGTCGGTACCAATCGCGCTGGTCGGGACCTGACCGCAGAAAACAACCATGGGCGTGCCGTCCGAGAGGGCATCCTGCATGGGAGTAATGACATTAGTGGCACCGGGGCCAGAAGTGACGAGGACAACACCAGGCTCTCCTGAAGCCCGGGCATAGCCTTCAGCCATGTGTCCAGCACCCTGCTCATGGCGAGGGAGAATGAAGTCGAAGTGCTTGGAGTTGTAGATAGCATCGAACACGGGAAGAATGGCACCACCGGGGTAGCCAACTATGCATCGGTCAGTCTATTTATGCTCTATGGTCCATGTCGCCCAGAACGTGAGGTGACTCACAGACGTGCTTGACGCCCAGACGGAGCATCATCTCATGGAAAATTTCTCCACCGCTGAGTCCCACGAAACTGTGACAAAGCGCGTTAGACTATGTGTGATTCAACCAGAAGAGCTCCACGGAGTCCACGTACGAATCATCCAATTCAGGCACATTTCGGTTCTGCAACGGCGATACTTCACTGCGAGGAGGTTCCAGGTTGAAGGCGGGGCTTGGGGCGGGACGAGACTTTCTATACCGGTGCACATTATGATTAACAAGGCCCAATTGGTTCCTGAGGTCTCTGAGCAAACCGAGAGACTCACGTAGTAGTAGCTGTAGCAGTGCTCTGGGATCGTTTCTGAGCAGAAAAGCGGTGGGGCGAGACGGCCGCGGCCACCGAGGAAGACGTAAAACACCTTCTTCCAGAGGTCATATACCTCTGGTAGTGCATGGCGCGCATGGCGCTTTTGGATGGTCTTAGAGGCATCATCTTTGCGGCGGATGACTGCCAGGCCAAACAGAAAAAATAAATGGGTTTAGAAAATGGGAAGGGGGAAAGAGACCACGGACCTGGTGTGAGTAAGAGGTCCTTAAGACCAGGCGGAAGAAGACTCAGACTCAGTGTCTGGTGTGGCTAATCCATCCCTGGTTAGCGCCATTCAGTCTCGAATAATTCCGCCCCCTTGATTGGCTCAATTCGCCTGCTAGCTCCGATCATCGGCGCCCATTCGAAGGTCTGCCGTCACCTGATTGGTGATATGGGGCCTCAGGCAAGAGGAAAAAAAGAGGATCCTCGGTCACTCGAAATGGCACTAGCCACGGAGTAGGGCCCTAACTCCGTACGTTGGATCTGGGGAAAGCAAACGGGAAATTCAGAGAGCTTCAAGGTAAAACAAACATATAAGCAAGAATGACCACCATTGATTTCATGATGACGGCGGATGCAATCATGATCTTGACTTGTTACTTGGGACAAACCTGCGAGAAATCTCTCTTATTGCAGGTCTTGCATGAGCAGTCGCAGATTTCCCTACCACTCACAAGCCTGGCCGATTCCGGAGATGCACATGCAACCATGTTCGTGTGAATCATCCGAAATAGATTCCCTGAGGTAACAACAACCATAACCCTAATGGACCAACGATGACTCAATTTGATATTCATATATTTGATCACTTTCTCCTTGGACCTGATCAGAATAGACAAGCCAATAACGCAAGTAATAATATTTTTTTTTTCTTTTTTTTAAAAAGAAAAGGGCAAAAAGAAGAGTAGATATATATGCAGGAACTACTACATCGCCACACAGGAATTTGAAACCAGACTACTCGGTACAGTTGTACTACAGCTTTCTAGTCTATGTTTAGTGTCTACAATGTCAGTCTGCATAGAAACGATTCAAGCTTTCTTTGTATATAGCTTACAATTTCTCTTCTCTCCAGATCCGAATTTTCATTATCGTTTTTGGAATAGGCTAATAGCAGGCCAATTGCCAAGAAAGGGATCTATTTTATAACGTTACATTTATTTATAATATCCACAAAACCCACCCTTTCCGTTCGTCGATGGAGTAAAGTGAAGTGACGTACCTGGCCTGACCCGTCGTTTGTATATACTCCGCAACGATTTTCTCCAGAATACTGGTCGTCAGCTTGAGCAGGCTTTTCGTTGATTAAAGAGCTTGTGGTGGAATTATTTCATTATCTATATATTCAATAATTTCCTAAATAATAGACGTTTTATACCTCATCAAATTGGACTCCAGGTAAAAATAGCTGGTCGATGGACTCAACTACCAACTGTAACAGGTTGGATGTCATACATCTACTTTATCCTGACATTGGCTCTTATTAACTATATTCCCTCAACTGAGGGTCCTAAGAAAATATAAGAAATAAAATAGTAAAAATAAGTAAGCTATATCTTATAAAGATAAGTAGTATTGGCTGGAGTAGACAGAGGCGGTTGAATTACTACACTGTACTAATACACTAGGTGTATAGTGCATAGCTATTGTAATATGTTACTATTTGTACTAGTGTGGATAGCGTTCTGAACTTGTGCAGCTGATCTTCCTTCCCCACTCATTTCCCTTCCATTCAGGCAATTTAATCATATTTCGATATTACCTCTGTCGACTCCGGCTCTGTTCACGATGTGGAAACCAGTAGCTGTCCCCTTTCAGAACTTCCAGCCTCTGCCTAATCTACCTACAACAGATGAAATCCGCGCTTGCACCAATGTTCTGTGGGAGACCCAGGCCTCCAAGATTGTGGCGGTGAACCACGATATTGTTGTAAAATATGGGGGTTGTATAAGCGTCGCGGAAGGCCAGGCTTTGGTTTACCTTGAACGACACGCCCCAGAAGTTCCGGCCCCTCGACTGTACGCCATGTACTATGATTCCAAACAACTTTTCTTGATCATGCAACGCATTCCCGGGGTACAGCTGAAGTCCATTTGGCCATCTTTGGAGCCCTCTGAGAAGGATGATATTGTCGCAAAACTCCAAGTAGTATTCGACACAATGCGAAAGGTCGAGTGTCCATGGCCCGACTTTTTCGGAGGCCTGGGCGGGGGTGCTGTATATCACTACCTATTCTATAGCCAACATGGCGATCAGGAATTTCTGGGCCCTTTCTCCGGCGAACCTGCCTTTGTTGCGGGCCTTGTCGGGAACTATAGAGCCTTGGTCGAACGCAATAAACACCCAGACTACAAGGCTCGCTTTTACGAAAAATACCTCCCTCGCGTCCTTCAAGGTCACCGGCCCACATTGACGCATGGAGACGCTCAGCAGAAGAACATCATGGTCGTGGAGAATACAAGTCGCCAAAACGATCAAGGTGGGCGATCATTTGATGTCGTACTAGTCGATTGGGAGAATTCCGGTTGGTTTCCTGACTTCTGGGAATACTTTTGTGCATCTTGGCCCCTTACTTTTGATTGGAGTGAAGATTGGTCCTGGCGACTCCAGGAGTGTGTTCAAGTATGGCCCGCCGAGATGGCCATGATGCAACTGATTGACAGGGATCTAGGTATGTGAAGTACGGTGATGTGTTTAGAAGGGAATGGATGTAATTTTTTGACTATAAAGAAGACCAATAAAACAAAACAAACGATCGGTTATCCTGAGTCTAAACATCCTATTATGTAGTTTATAACACTACTAATTGCTTCATAACCAACGCCATAGTCAACGATCTCTTGGCACGGATTATCTACAATCCCGCCACCTAGGTAGCTGTACAACGTATACTACTCACAATCCTCTTCATTTATTTTATCTCATATGAAACTGCGATGATGCCTTCCACAGCAATGTGGAGCTGCGATATCGCAAATTGCGACCAACCTTCCGTACGTATATACGGCGAGTGTATTATCTGTGATCGCCATCTTTGCGCTACCCATCTTGACCAAGATTACCATAAGTGTCCTAAATGGGAGGTAAGCTACATAAGCATATCAGAGAACTGATCACTAATAAAGTCCTCTTAAGGACGAGGAATTGTATGATTCTGCTGCCCAGGAGGCGGAACGAAAGGAAATCACGAGTCTTTTGAACAAAATCAACGTCGATGCACTTCTTTCACGGGCTAGCCACCTACGAGAGGGTTTACACTGTTTCCTGTCTAGGGATCTTCAATATGATCGGTCGACACGGTCTTCAGTTATGGGTGGAATGAATTATCATATCGAAATTCAGTTCCAGGATGGAGTTGCCTGGCTTGCACGTATTCGAAGATCCAATGCCACATCTCCACCATTGGACTTGCAAAGATACATTATGTGTAGCGAGGTCGCCACCCTTCAGTTTCTGAGCAAAACAAATGTTCCTGTTCCGAAGGTTTTCGATTACAATCTTGATGGAGGCTCGGTTGGCGTGGGATATATTCTACTAGAGAAAATGACTGGAAAGTCTCTGCGTTGGTCTCTTGCGTCCGGTGAACAGAGGAAAAGAGTCATGAGTCAGTTAGCAGACATTTATGTTGAACTACAGACGCATCCTTTCAAACAGATGGGCTCGTTGGACCAACCAGGAACTAACCATATCGGGCCTTTCGCACGAGAGTCATTGACGGACTATCTTCACTCGCGTATGCGACCCATTGGGCCCTTTGCCTCTCCCAATGATTTCCTGCTCGCGTGCATCCAATTGACACTCGATCTAATTATAAGGGGGGAGTGTTATGCTACGCGAGCAATTGACGCTTTTTTGATCCATCGGTTTCTCCTGGACTCTGTTCCAACCATCTTCTCCCGTTATGTCTTTGATGACGGATGCTTCTACTTAAAGCATGCAGACGATAAAGGGGACCACATTCTTGTTGACGATGATTACAATATCACCGGAATTGTCGACTGGGAATGGGCACATACAGATTCTAAATCTGTCGCCTTCAACTCCCCGGTTCTACTGCTCCCTGTTGCTGATTTTTATAGGGGAGTGAATGAACCTGGTACAGATGAACATGATTTCGCGCAATTACTGGAAGATAAAGGGCATCACGAACTTGCAGAGATAGTAAGGAATGGACGGATTATTCATCTTTTCAACTTTTGTTGTGGATACGATCTCGCTGATTGGGATGGTTTCGTCGGCCTTTTTCAAGGTCTACGAAGGGCCTTGAACGCTGATGGTGATTTGGAATGGGAAGCTTGGAAAAAGAAAGCCATGAATGATTACAAGAATGACAGTCAGCTGAATGAGCTGCTAATCCGACAAGCCAAGCGAGGTACTTGAACTGTTTAATTATTAGAACTGTTCAAGTTACTCTTAGATCATATAATTCATCTACTGCGCAACATGTCTTTCCAGCCCAACAGAAGAGGGGCTGGAAGTCCCTCGTGTATCGCTCGGATTCGCTCCAGTACAATCCGCCGTCAGTTGGCAGTACTAGTATTTATTATTTAACAGTCAACACTTGCATTTAGATTTGATGAGACTGACACATGGTGAACTGCGGATGCCTGAGTTCTACCAAGGGTAGATTCAACCCGAATGGGGTTCGACCTTGAATTATGTTATAGAATAGGTATCATATCGTTTGAGACAACACTCTTTTTGGCCGTCAATTTGCCAGCCTTATGCCACTCACCCAGACCCTTACGTCCACGTACCCCCGAGTCCCAAGGGACACCAACCTCATTCGTCCGCAGCGTACTATGTCTTCACTACTTTTTAAAGCCTTGTCTATATTGACTTCGGCAAGTAAATTACTCATCTCTTGGTGACCATGTACCTTAGACGAATTATTCAGTCTGTTCCCTGCAAACCCTCCCCATTTCCGGCCAAGTTACTCCCTGCAGCAGATCTGATTGAAGAGCACACACCTCATTATAAGCCTCAGCACTTTTATCCTGTACGTCTTTATGAGATCCTCAACAACCGATACCAAATTGCCGCTAAAATAGGCTGGGGAACAAGTTCGACAGTATGGCTAGCACGCGATCTCCACCAGTATGTGAAGATCGTCTGATAATATATTCAACCCTTGTCTCACTATGCCATAGGTGGCGATGGCTTCCGCCTCGATATGTGGCCATCAAGGTCAACGCAAGCAATTATGCCTCTCAAGAGTCCGCGGAGAAGGAGGTACGCATTACTGAGCATACAACCAAAGCAAATCCCCAGCATCCAGGCCGCAACTTTGTCGCCGCCTTGTTAGACTCGTTTCGTGTCGCTAGCCCTGGCGGCACTCATATTTGCATGGTCTTCGATGTGCTTTGTGAACCCCTACGGATGTTGAAGCGTCGTTTCGAAGGAAACACCATCCCTCTCGGTGTCTTGAAACCGGTGTCTAAACTTGTATTAGAAGGACTACGGTACCTTCACACCGAATGCCACGTTATTCACACAGGTAACTAGTCATTCAACCGACGCACTCCTAGGATCGGTCCCAGCTAATGGACAAACAAGATCTGAAGTCCGATAACATCTTACTGGCCCTACGCAACCCGTCTATTCTGGACTCGGTCGCACAAGATGAGATGAACAATCCCTCTCCACGGAAACAACTAGACGATCGGGATATATACTTATCCCGAAACTACTGGGGACTGACACCCAACGAACTGGGTAGATCGGTAATAACTGACTTTGGGCTTGCCGTGCGCGGCGACGGCCCCCCGAACAGCCACCCCATCCAGCCAGAGGGATACCGGGCCCCGGAAGTGTGTCTTGGGGGCGATTGGAGCTACAGTGCTGACATTTGCAACTTGGGAGTTATGGTAAATGACCTCGTTATCATATTCATAGATCACCACTAATAGTCTATCAGCTTTGGGACCTGTTCTATGGCCGCGGTCCCTTCGACACACCACCGGACTTCCCCGGCTCAGGCTCTGCAGACGCAGCCCACCTGGGTCAGATCATTTCTCTCCTGGGGCCCCCTCCACCTGATCTTCTCGGCCGGGGTAAAGAGACTTCTCGGTATTTTGACGCTCAAGGTATGCTAGCCGTGTCCTAACTAGACGCAGCTGACTGGTTTTATAGGACAATTCAAACTCCCCGAGCTTGTTGGAAAAAAGGACCTGGTGTCCATGGCTAAAGAAATTGAGGATGGCGACGGAATGCCCGAGTTTGTAGACCTTATTTCTAGAATGCTGCGCTGGAGGCCCGAGGACCAGATCACGGCGGAGGACCTGCTTTCCCATCCATGGCTTCCATGACTTGTATTATTATATAGTATCTTTATAGCGATTTCCTTTAAAGATTATCGATATCTCTTTTAGTATTAGCGGCAAGGCCTGAGATGAGTGTAACAGGGAATGGATAATACATCGTTCATTATTATGAAATCTGCTAGACATACACCTTCAATGTCTACTCCCCTCCATCCGTAAACGCCAGAAAAGCACGCCAGAATTCATTCTGAATAAAATCTAGAACGAACACATTAAGAGTTGATGCGTGTACCTGGTGCCCTTTCCTGGGAGCCCATTTGCACTTTCTTACCTCCACAGATATTGACAGGTGTAATCGGCCTATGCTTCTTCCTAGGACTCCCCAGTTCGACACGTACGTCATTCTCATACCTGCTCTTTATTAGTAGGTCACATCGCTCATCAATTAACTCATCCTCAAGAATAGCATATCGTGCATATTTATCAATTGGAGGCCGTAGGGGGTGCGGCGCCATCGTCCAATACGACTCCGTGAAAAGCTGACGAGTCCAGTTCTCATTCACTTTCATCATATCAAAATTCCATGCACTGTTTTCGATGCACAGACCTCGAATAGTCAGTAGAAGATTCTCGACTTGACAGACTGGATAAACTCGACCGCCGAATGCACGAGTTTCCCAAGCAGTGCCGGCCTTGCGGCAGGTTATACCAGGGGGGGTTTCAAATGGCTCGTTATTAGAACGTAATTGACCAGCTCGGCTGCTACGGAACTCCAATACATGGGCTAGTCCATGCCCCAGTAAGACTGCCAGAAAGACCAGACCCGCTAGTTTCTGACTGTGGGTTGAAGTCGAATCCTTCAAGAGTCGAATGATGTTGTAGTCAAAGGTTATCAGATCTGACATCGTGTTAGGGCGCAGTGTTGTTTCTGCAAATGGGGATGAGATTGGGTGTATGGCAGGGCCAAAGTCGATGTCAGGAATGGCGTTTTTGATGCATCTGAGAATCTCATCCTTGGATACTTCTAGCTCCTCAGCAGCATCGAGTCTTACACCTGGGAGGTCTGGGTGTCGGCGCTGAACGAAAATGCTAGAAGATTCCCAGCGCTGAATTATGATTCGTGATATGAGGAGAAGCGCTGGTTGGATTAGTGTATAGGCGTTGCGCGCGGCAGGTGTATTTCTTTCGCGAAATATTGGGAATTTCGAGCTTGGGAATAGATTCTCATTTTGTAGGTCGCAGAAGCTGGATGGGTAGTTTTCGTAATTCTCCATGATGAAGTCTCCTTCAGCGAAGCCACAGGGGTTGCCTGTATTCTTAGTAGTCATGGTGTGGGTTTGCAAGCTGTGACTTTTACAATAGCAGCTTGCTTGTGCTTATAATGGTGTTGTGTAAGTCTCATAGGTAGAAGTGGTAGGGTAGAAATATTGTAGGCAGAAGTGGTAGGTGCCCAGACCACGGTAACGTAAGTATGATGATGATGATTTTCACTCAACTCCCTCAGATGTGTTACGATATTAACCAAATTGACGAGAGGGGAATGTCCAATCTGAAGGGTTTACTTCTTCCTGGATGCCCCGGAAAGATGGACGTACGTCGTTCTCTATATGAAATATAGTACTACAGTCTACTCAACAATTTGCGTCTATAAATTATAACATTGTTATATATTAATCTTTCTTTCTATGTTTCTTTTGGCTAGAACAAAAGGGGTATATTTCCTGGAAACAGAAGAGGTGTGATGTGGGGTGGTGCGTCCCGATTGAAAATTGAATAGCCTGTTTACCTGGGTAGACGCGAAAGAACGTCGGTTAATTTCATTAGACTCGGTACAGTCGGCTCAACGCGATAATCTACAGAGGCATTAAGCCGGGGATTCAGACCGTATGGGTGCGAACATCGTGTTACCGTTGGGAAGGAGCGAATGTGAAAGCACCGTATACAGTAGAGTACGAAAAAGCAAAGAGGAAAGCTTGTTTAGAAGACCACGAAGGTGCGGTCGGCTATAAAAAGACCAAGTGTCGGGGGGTAATAATGCGGCAGGCCGAGAGAGACTCGGGAGAAATGTGGGGTTCGGTTGAAAAAGCTGGAGACTCGGAGTGCCGGTGAGCCGTAAGCGCTGATTTCATGGGCTTCTCCAGGCACGGGATCGCGTGGGCAGCGTCATTAGGACATGAACGGATGCCCCGTTTATCCCGGGCGGCCAATCATCCGGTGCTGGAGTCGCAGGGCTCTTGTTCTCCATTGCGGGGCATTTCCTCCTCCCTCCAATTTTCCACCCCTCTCATGACCGTATTTTTTTTCTCTCTTATACTAGTAATACATTGTTTTAATTAAATACCCCTCCTCCCCTCGTCTTTTTTCTGTCTTGCTTCTTGATCCTGTCGTTCTTTTCCCTTCCCACTCAACTCGACCACACATTCCCCCGCCATGGCAACAACCCCGCAAGAGCTCGTCCCCCAGACGGAGAACATCGCTGAGGTCTATGCCACAGACGATGCCTCGGTCACCTCCGTTGCTCCAGAGCACCAGGCCCGTTTCAACGGTCTGATCTCCAAATTCAACCAACTGTACAACCACCGCCCCGACTTTGTCTCGCGCAGTCCTGGCCGTGTCAACATTATCGGCGAGCACATTGACTACAACCTGTACGATGTCCTTCCGACGGCTGTCAGCGTCGACGTCATCATGGCCGTGAAGGTGGTGCCCTCCACCGGAGAGCCATTTGTGAAGATCGCCAACGTCCAGCCCGAGAAATTCCCCTCTCGCGAATTCACAGTCCCCCGCGACACGGATATTGAGATCGATCCGAAGCAGCACGAATGGGTCAACTACTTCCGCGCGGGACTCTTGGGCGCCTTGAAGTTCTTGCGCAAAACCAAGCAAGATGGCTCCTTTGTGCCTGCCAGCGTAGAAGTGCTCGTGGATGGTAATGTGCCCCCGGGCGGTGGAATCTCCAGCAGCGCGGCGTTCGTGTGCTCGAGCGCGCTGGCCGTCATGAAAGCGAACAACCACAACGTCTCCAAGCAAGACCTGCTTGACCTGGCCGTGGTCTCGGAGCGTGCCGTGGGCGTGTACTCTGGCGGGTAAGTACCGAGAACCCCCTCCGATCATTCACTCTTCTCACACTTCATAGCATGGACCAAGCCGCCTCCATCTTCTCCCGTCGCGGATACCTGCTCTACACCCAATTCTTCCCCAACTTCTCCGTCCAGCACGTCCCCATCCCCAAGGCCACCGAAGAGATCACCTTCCTCATGGCCCAGAGCTTCGTCACCTCCAACAAAGCCGAGACCGCGCCCCGCCACTACAACCTGCGCGTCGCCGAATGCACCCTCGCCTCCGTGGTCCTAGCCGCCCAGCACGGCCTGACCCTGCCCAAGGACAACAGCTCGCTGGGCTACAGTCTGCGGAACTTCCACGAAGAGCTCATGCGCAAGGAAGGCCGCCTCGGCGACCCGCTCGAGTACCAGATCGACTCCGTCATCCAGACCACCATGGAGCTGCTCAGCCAGGAACAAGGCTACACACGCGAGGAGATCGCCCAGCTGCTCGGCATCACGGTCGCAGACCTCGAAGCCAAATACCTCTCTTCCTTCCCCGTGCAGGCCGAGCGCTTCCTCCTGCGCCAGCGCGCCCTCCACTGCTACACCGAGGCCCGTCGCGTGCTCGACTTCAAGGCCTGCCTCGCCAAGGCGGCCACCCTCGACGACAGGCGCATCCAGTACCTCGGACAGCTGCTGAACGAGTCCCAGGCCTCCTGCCGCACCCAGTATGAGTGCAGCGCGCCCGAGGTCGACGATATCTGTGCGATTGCCCGGCGCGCGGGTACCTGGGGTAGCCGTCTGACCGGTGCGGGATGGGGTGGCTGCACTGTGCATATGCTGCCGCAGTCGAAGGTCGACGCGGTGATCAAGGCTCTCAAGGAGGAGTACTACCTGAAGAAGTTCCCGGATATCACCGACGAGAAGCTGGCCCAGGCGATGGTTATTAGCAAGCCTTCCAACGGCTCCTTTGTGTATGTCCTGTCCTCTCTTTACGTTGTGAACGATGTGCATCTTGCTAACTTGCGCTTCGAATAGGGTTACGGGCGAGGCCATTGCTCAAGTCAATGTCTAAAACTAACTTAAGGGAAAATAATTTAAAAAAGAAAGAAAAAGGGAACGGGATGGATGAAGTTGAACTTGGAATTAAATATTGTATATAGTCTCCAATCCGTTACTGAAATTGTATTGGCGCTAGCGTCAGATATGCAGACATGACCAGCAGGCTTAAGGCCATGTAGACTGTTACCCTGAGAAGCCTGACTTTCCCCTTGTCGTGAGAGGTTTTCTCTTCTCGCTATTATTTGACCTTCGAGATACTCGCAGTGTATTGCGCCGACTGGCTCGACTTCTTACTGAGCCTTCTGGTCCCATGACTCTGCTTGTATTCCATCTAGTACGGGACTTGAGAACGAGTAGAATGGTCTCCGTTCCACCGACGGAAGCTGGGTAGTCATTGATACCAGACTGAACGGCGAAGGTAGCGTGCGACTGCCAACATGAAGTCTGATTCCGTGTCGAATAAGGTTTCATGCACACGACTCAAGATTTCTTCTTGGCGGCCGCCTTGGAAAAGAAGTCGCTCATCTTCTTCATTCCCGTGGTGTTCACCTTCTTCAAGTCCCGAACTCCCCGAGATTCTCCCGCCTTCTTTTTCTTCTCCTCTTCCTCCTTGCGCCGCTTCTTCTCCGCCCGTGACTCGGCGCCTTCGTCGTCATCGATGTCTCGCTTCCGGCTGAAGTCTCCCAAAGACCGGGACGCAAGGGCCTCTGCGCGAAGCTCCGCCACATGCTTGAGATGATCATGCATAGGCTTGAAGTCTATAGGGCTCTCGGAGCTGGAGAGTAGCTCATCGACCTTGGCGCGCAGAGCCGCAGACAGGTAGGAGTCCTTCATGAAGGCGAGAGCCGTCGAGATCCTCAGGAGACGAGCCACATCGTCTGAAGCTGCTGGCGCATTTGGCGGCACTTCTGTAGCAGGGGTGGATACGTCGGAGGGCGTAGGGACCGACGTCGAGCTTGCTGTTGTTGCCGGTGTCTCCTTGTCTTCCTGTGGCGTTGCTTCGCCCTCCGTAGGATTGGACGACGCCACATTGGTCGACGCATCCTCTCGCTTGACAGCCATCAGCGGCGTGGACAACGCTTGGCGGATAAAGCGTTCCTCCATGCTGGCGGGAAGTCCCAGTGCGACCATCCGCTCTGCCTTGGCAATCAATTCCCGGAGAAGTTTCGTCTCACTGAATCGGAACATTTTCTCGTCTCCGGCCTCCACTGAATCGCAAATCGCCTCGCTCGCGCCTGTAAGACAGTCCTGAAAGATTCATCGTAGAGAACATGCCGGAAGTGCTTGGGGAGGTCGTCCTGCGAGTCGATGATGTCGTCCAGGGGTTGGAATAGGCCTTTCGCCTGGGAAGAAGTCGGGCATAGTAGAGGAATCAAAAAGAAGACCACGTCTATGGGCGTTGCGATCAACAATTGCGCGGTTTTCGCTACGGTCGCATTTCTGGGCTGGGACTGTTTTCCATCCGGTGCCGTGCTGGTCTCCGCCTTGGGGGTGAAAAGGACACTTCGTGGGGACTGCGAGGAAGAGGTAACCGCGGTGAATTCGTAGATTCCCCGCTGTGGGCAGAAGTAATAGCGCGTGAGTTCTCCGGTTTGGGGGTTGGGCAATTGGAGGAACCGGGCTTGGTCGCTGGCGGAAGAAGGGAGGATGAATGTCTTGCCGGGTTTCTCGGTCGTCAGCGGCGGTTTGGAGGGCTGATCCGGCTTGGATTGCTCGGACGAAGGAGCCGACGATCGGGTGCGCATGGTGAGGTAGGAATAGGACTCGTTTGAGAGAATTGAAGGTTCGAAGTGACTACTAGGTAGTACTAGTAGTGCTAGTTCGTACTCACTGTGTACTCGGTACTAAACGCGTGCCTGAAATTAATTCCAACTCCGAACGCGACATCACGCGCAGCCAATCACGGCCGCAGCTCCGCCGACCAGTAGAAAGCCCAAGCGACAACCTTTCTTTACCAACTAATGCAACTCAACCGTGTGTGTGTGTGTGTTGTATGCCTTGCTGATGACAGACAGTGTCTTGCTGAATGCTCACGTCCTTTCCCTCCCTGTTCACCCCTTCGGTCGTCCAGAGTCATTTATTGTTGCGCCGTCGTCGGCCTCTACTTCTCTCCCTCCATTGGCATTCCCCGCATCCATACGGGCCTGAACATGGCCAAAACCCACGGGAAGGCGCAATCCGAGAACAAATAGTGGCATTCTTAGCGTGTTAATAGTGGTAGCATTGGTGTGGCGCTACCGCAAACCCTGCTTTACCAACGACAAAGAAAATCCAGAGCCCGATGACCAGTAGTGAGTACGAAAAACTTCCCTATCCCTTCCGCGGCCCTGGACTGATGATTCCCGCCCCGAAGTGGTCGACATCTCGTGGCCCCCCAAGTCCCCCAGGGAGGCGCTGCTGAGCTCTCCCAGCGGTCGAAGAAAATATGAAGAGATGCAGCGCCGTCGAGAAAATTTCGCGTCCCCTCTCAAACGTTCCACTACAACCCCGGACCTTCGAACAAGGTCGGGACAGCTCTTAGATGACGGTCTCGAGGACGACGATGAAGATGAGGATGAGGAAACGCTGAAATTGAAGTTAGCAGCTATCGAGGCGCGACTGAAGCTGAAGCAACTGCAGAAAAATCGTGGGAAGCCAGGCACGCCGGGACCGGACGCGCACGACAGAGACGATATACTGTCCAGACCAGGATCGGCGGTGAGCGCCTCGTCACGGGCTCAGGACAATTTCTCAAGGATGAAGAGCGCCAGAGAAGTGTCGAGCAGATTCGAGCCCAATGATGTGCAGGTCCCATTGTCGCCGACACGGCGTCCGGCAGCCGCAGCTCCGCCCGCCTCCCCGCGAAGGTATATACTCGGTATCGACAAGGGCCTCAAAGGCAGTGATGTTTCTCTAAAGCGACCTCCAAGCTCCAGGTCTACCGGCCGACCGACAAGCGGAGGTGGTCTTCGAGACGGCATGGCGTTGCATTCCCACAATGCCCTAACGCAGGCTTTAGCAGGGGAGCCAGGAAACCGCCCCAAGAGCTTCAGTGAGCGAATGGCCGAGAGCAGATCTGCCGACAAAGTCCGAAGGGAACGGGCAGAGAGGCTGCAAGTCAACAGGAGCTCAGCATTCCAATTCGACAAGGCAGAGGTGGACGCATTCAAGGCGGCAGCCGAGGCAAGGAAGGGGTCTCCTACACGGTCACCGACCAGAAATCGACAGACTGAAAGCTTCAGCCGAGATGACATTCTACGGTCATGCAATAATCTCAAGCCTGCAGGCCTGAAAAGAAGCCAGACTCTTCCCAGTGTACGAAGGAACCTTGATCAGGATGAGCCCGGATCATATCTCCATAGACGAAACCAAAAGTCTGAATCGGAAGCACAGACCGCTTCATCTACCAGCTTTGAACATACCGGCTCTGACGACACTCGCGAAGGGAGTGCACCAGACAAGACTCCTGACTCTTCGAAATTCGAACCCTTTTCTTCCCTTCATCTTTCTAACCGTATCCTACCGCACTCCTTTCTAACCCGCACTCTTGCTGACAAGAAGGTTCTCCGCATTCCCGATCTTTTGAGGACCGTGAAGGGGCCCGCCTTCGAGCTACCTGAAACTATCAACGGCGACTACGTGGTCTTTGGGATAGTAGCCTCGAAGTCCGAGCCCAGAGAGATCAAAGACTCGAAAAAGGTGTCTGCAAAAGAAGCCGATCCCTTTGATGAAGGACTCAACAACACCAGCAGATACATGTGCATCCAGCTCACGGACCTGAAATGGACCATTGATCTTTTCCTTTTCGACACCGCTTTCCCGCGGTACTACAGGCTATCCGAGGGCATTCTCATCGCCATCCTGAACCCGACGATTTTGCCCCCGCCGAAGCACAAGCTCGACACCAACAAGTTCAGTCTCGCCATTTCGTCGTCCGACGACAAGGTCCTGGAGATAGGCTATGCGCAAGACATCGGCTTCTGCAAGGCCGTCAGGAAAGACGGCAAGACATGCCAAGCGTGGGTTGACGCCCGCAAGACGGAGTTCTGTGATTTCCACATCGACATCCAAGTTCGCCGCACCCAGTCCCAAAGAATGGGAGTCAACAATGGGACAGGCATGTTCGGTCCGGGTGGGCGCTCTGGGCCACGCACTGGCTTTTTCGGCAATGGCAAAGCGAAGGGCGAAGGGCCCCGAAAGGGACTGAAACCCAACGGAGCACAATACGATTTCCAGTCCCAGTCTCTATACTACGTTGCGCCGGCCCCCAAGTCCCGAGCCGGCAACGGCGGCTCCTCCTTCGTCATGCCAGGCGGCCAGTCTGCCGCTCGACTCATCGACGCCGACGACGAAGACCCATTCATCGCCGCAGGCCGGATGGGCCGCGGAATGGAAAACAAAGAAGAACGATTCCGCCGCCGGCTGGTCGAACAGCAGCGGGAGCGCGATATCGCCCAGAAGCTCACCTCGCGGGGAATCGGGATGGGCGCTGAATATCTTCGGGCTCGAAATCCCGAGAACGTCTCGTCGGAGAATATCACACCGGCAAAGACAACCCCTAACCCGGAGACCCCTTCGAGCCACTCAGGCCTGCTCGGCTTCAGGAAAGCAAACACGGTGAAACTGGGCCCGTTGAAGCGCGCTCATGACGGTTCACACGGCAACAGCGTGAAAAAGACCCGGTTCATCACCGCCAAGGGCATCAAGGAAGCCGGAAGAGATAGCCTGGGGATGTCCACAGGCTTCGATGATGACGATGACGACGAGCTGGATATCATATAAGACAACCAGTACTGCAGATGAACATAGACACAAAAGAACCAAGCCATGTTTTGATGAACGCTAACGTCCTCAATAGAGGCTCTTGGAGTTGTTGGAGTTTCTTTCTTTCCTTCCCTTTCCTTTCTTTTTTCTTTTTCTTTCTTTCTTTTTTTTTTGTTACCCTTGCATGTACCCTTCTACTCGGCGCTTCTTATACTTTGATAGTCCCTTTTGGCTGCCTTTATATCTCTTACTTCTAGCAGGCTACGGAGTATTTTATACCTCTTATTCAATCCATTCCTTTGAATAACCTGTACAGCCATACACAAACATCAAGATTATATATGTTTAGCGCGTAGCTCTGAGCGGAAAGAGTAGGCAGTGGCATTGAATTGTATACCTTCTGCGATTAGATGGGTTACAGAGGACAATAGTAGAGATGATATTGGTTGTTCATTGGATATCTAAACTAAAGCTATCGAGAGAAGAGCTCAAATACACGCCGGGCTCAGAGGCAGGAAAAAAAGCATGAGAAACAAAAAAACAAACTCCATCCAGTAATGTGCTTGCCAGCCAAATCCCGATACCTGTCCATTTACCCATTCCCGTATCCCATTCCGACTGCTGCCCAACAAAGACTTGATTGTATGAACAGACGCAAACCGAGCGCAGCCGGACTTTTAAAAAAAGGTTCTTAGCCCTGAATCTTGGCATTCAAGAAAAGTCAACATGTCTGGATAACCAGAATCGCCATTAGGAAAAAGACGTAAAAATTCAGAGCATCAAAAGCTGAATCACATCGCATGCCAATAACATCTGAAATTATGTAGGTCAGGACGATGTGGCGGCAGCTCGGCTTCCTCTGGTTTTCTTGGTAGCCGGGCCACCGGGGCTACCGGCCGTCTCAGCAGCGTCCCTCTTTCTGGCCTTGGACCCTGCGGGGACAGGAGTCGGTTTCCTTCTCAGCCAACCATCAAAGGGACTAACGCGTTTCTTTTTGGTCTCTGGGACCGTAGGTGTTGTGTGCTCCGAATCATCACGCTTGGCTCGAGGACGCAATGAGCGTATTGTCGCACCAGGCGAGGGAGGGGTATCAACAGTATTTGGTGGAGGAGTGACTGGCCGCTGCTTCATCTCAACGTCGACGGGGCGATCGACAGTTTCTGCGACATCAGGAACGACCATGTGGTCCTCTATATCAGTAGCTGCTTCTTCATCGACATCGCTAGCATAATTTGACGGAGGCGCGCGGTCGTTTGCTGCGGGGAAGAGCACACGAGGCTTGATGGACGAGCGAGTGAGTGGTCGAACGTTGGCAGTAATGTCTTCATCCAACAAATCCGGGCGAGCTGCAAGCAAGCCCAGGTCGTCATCTTCATCATCGCCATCACTCTCAACTGGCTCGACGAACTTGCGGAAGATTTTCTTGCCACGGCTGCAGAATTCGTTAGCGAGGACGCTCGACAGATCTCGAAGAATATACTTACAATACATAAGTCATGCCATCGTCACGTTTGACTGATTCGTCAACTTCCTTGTCACGCTTGCTTTGCTCTGCCCTGCGCCTCGAAAATCGTGTAGGGGCAGTGGGCTTCTTGCAGAATGGGTTGTCTTCGCTTTCATCCGGCTCTGGAATTCGGTCACGAGAGTCGGTGTAAATTTGGATATCAGATCCGCCCTGAGCATTGTCGTCAAAGCTATCCAGTGAAAAGCCGGTGTATTTCTTGCTCCTCTTGGTACGTCCCGAGGGCGGAGGGAAAAGAGTGCGTGCCGTGCTTCCAACATCGCCGACCGCTTTCTTCTTTGGCGTTTTGGCAGGTGTTGGCAGCATTCCCTGTGACATGGTGGTCCGGAATGCGTGTAAAGGACGAGTTGAGTTGGAAGGCTCCGATGTGCCGAAAGGATCTGAGTCGTCTAGTTCAGAGGCGCCATCCAGCAGGAAACTGCCGATCCGATCTGTTGTCTTCTTGCGGGGCGATCTGCGAGCAGATTCGGGTGGTGACAATGCTCCCAGTTCCTTATGTTGCTTCTTTGTACCTTTCAAACTCTGCGATGGCGGAAAATTCGGCGGAGGAGTTGTGTGTCTCTCCTTTGATGCCCGTTGACCGGCTAGCCGCGCCGAATGCCGCGTAGAGTACGGCTCATATTGGTCGTATCCGGGTCCATGTCGTGGAGTGGGAGGCACCCGAAGAGTTGACGGCGGCGGAGGTGTCGTCGCCATTGTGAGAGATGTTCAACACTCAGAACTCGGATTATGCACACACGATATCGAGCAGTAATGATTGAAGACGAGGTTCGTGACCAAGAGTGGTTGTCAGGCGTGGACGATGTGAGCGGTAAAATTGGGCGGTCGCGAGTCCAAGGGGTACCAAGGGAGGAAAGACGCGCGCGAGTACGCCAAAAGCCGACCGAATGACGGGTAGAACTCTGAAGCTCGACTAGCGATCGATTCGTCTATGGGGTCGAGTGGGTATGATCCGATGGATAATTGTGGAAAGAAAAAAGGAGAGAATTAAATTAATTAATTCTTATCGAGCGATAAAGGGAACGATAGCGATGGTGGAGGAGAAAACGAGAGGGTTGGAAGAAGTTTGGTGTTGGTGACGGGGGGGAGCAACGAACGAGGAATGCTTGACGTCGACCCAGCCACACATTTAACAGTGAGGCTGAACCAATCACCCGCCCCACCGCCCCTCCTCAGGCATTGATTCACCATTCCCGCCTTAGGTCTTAGGCGACGATAAGTCACCATAACCCAGCACTTATCTACACGTGCAGACAACTAAAATAGTCCGATTTGTTTGCTGTCCCTCTTCCCCTCCACAACCACAACTATCCCCACCCTTAACCTTGCAAACCATGGCTTTCCGCAGCACGGCGGAGGAAATGGAACGACTCCAACTCTCCGATGAAGACACAGACGACCTCTGGGATTCTCCCTCCAAGCGGGGCAGTAGGAAATTGAATCGAATACCCGTGAAAGAAGAGAGCACCACACCCCCGCCCATATCCTCCCACGATGGTGAAACGCTGTTCGACCGCCAAGAGGCGCGTGAGGCAGCCTTGCGGAACGAGTTACAGAGTGTCCGGAACATCAATCAGGTGATTGAAGGCCTTCTGAATAGCCTTGATCGGGCAAAGGGTAACATGGATGTATGTCGAATCTTTTATTGACTTTCCCAGTCAAGCCGTTTCCGGATCGCCAATTTAACAAAAAAACCTACAATAGACCGTTTCGCGTACCGTTGATTCCGCGTCAACATTACTAAACACTTGGACGCGAATTCTATCTCAGACTGAGCATAACCAGCGGTTGATCCTCAATCCAAACTGGCAAGGTGCTGTTCAAGATGTTGCGGACTTGGAGAACGAAGAGCGCCTCAAGCAACAAGCCGCGGAAAGACGGGAACGAGAGTTGCAGGAACAGAGAGAGGCAGCGGCTCGGAGAGCCGAGGAAGAAGAGAAGAGAAGAACGCAAGCCGCTGCTCGAGGCACACGTGGCAGGGTCCGCAGTAGCGGTCTGGGAAGAACACCAAGTGTCTCCTACTCACGAACCAATCCGAGTGCAACAAGGACCACATCCACTGCGACAAGAGGATCTACAACCACAAATACACGGAGACCGGTCAGCGGAATTGCCCGAGGCCCTAGCGTTACGCGTGGTCGAGGTAGAACTTGAAGAGCTTTGCATAAATGACGAGACGTCTTCATGTACATTACGAGATTTCAATGAGGTAAAAACTTGCAATATGATACCCAGGAGCATAGACGGTATACAGCCCTTTTTTCTTCTATTTCTTTTTTTTCCCAGGTCAGTGTAAATTGGTGTAGTGCAGTCGTAAACATGATACTCGGGTAGGAGATTTATCAACACGACGCGTTTTCTGCCTCAGGCGCCAAGACGTCACCGCCATCATGAGCGGCCGATAAAGCTTTACCACCTGATAAGAACCTCACGCCATAATCCCGACGTCCACCTTGCCTGCGATCGCTATATCGAGCGCAATGAATTTCGCTCCCTATCAGGATGAATCCCCCGAGGTCGAGCGGGCAATGTCGCCTGCCCTCGGCGATGCCAATCGCGTGAAATCGCCCATTCTCAGATCTCCTGTCGGCTCTCCTCCAATCCCAAATCTCGCATCTAACGCGCTTCCGTCACCGAGTCACTTTACCGGTGGAGTTCAAACAGGGGCAACTGGGTTCGGAAATAATAGTTATGGCGGAGATGTTGAAAGGGGGAGATGGAACATGGGAGCTTTTGATACGAGTCTACCCATCCGTATGGATTTTGAAGCTATGCTGGCATATCTGCTTCTGCCTCCTGCGGGTGGTGTCTTCCTTCTACTAGTAGAACACAAAAGCGATTATGTACGGTAAGTGTCAAAACAAACCCGATGATGCAATTCCTGGCAAATTTACTAATGTTATGCAGCTTTCATGCATGGCAGTCAAGTATGCTTTTTACCGTCATGTTTGTATGTCAAGCCACGTGTCCGACCTTGCGTGAAATGCGCGCTTACAGTTCGTTAGATAATCCATCTCATATTCGCTTGGTCAAGCTTTTTGTCATGGACTCTGCTCCTATGCGATTTGGCCATGATCGGTTTCTTGAGCATGCGTGCTTATCGCGACGGTAAGTCAAGGCATAGGCTGAGAAACACCCTGTAGTACTAACCAAGTCCCAGTTGACACACTTGATCACTACGAAGTGCCCATATTTGGCCGTCTGGCAAACTCCTTTGTTGACGACGAATGAAACTAATTCCGCTTTCAATGGCGATGCATCCGTTTCATATACCCCCCTATGTTCCTCTCGCCGACAAAGCATCGTCTTTTTCCCACGGGAAAAACCCCCAGAATCTACGCATTGGGGATGAATTTTCCATTGTATAATGATGACCCAAAAGGGTTATTTGATTTACCTACTACACCCAGAACATGTTTTCCAGAAAGTGGATGGGTGCACATATCAACCTAGCACATCCCAACCCCACCAATGTACATACATACAACATGCCCAT